AAAAAAAAAATAAAAAGGAAACGTGTACTGCAGGGTTTGGTTTAGAATCACAAAAGGTGTACATCAAGGTTGTATCCTTTCTCAACTATTTAATCTGTATGCTCAGCAAATAATCCAAGAAAGTGAACAACATGGAAATAACACATCCGCAGGATAGAAAACTCATTAACAACATGTGGTATGCAGATAACACAACCTTGCTTGCAGAAAACCAAGAACATGCAAAATACTTATTGATGAATCTCAAAACCATCTGGTCTTCAGTACAAATTACACCTCAACACAAAAACAAAAATTCTCACAACTATATAAAAAAACAACACCGAAAAGCAGAAGACTGAAGCTGTCAACAATTCATTTTCTTTAGAGTCACAATATACATTCATGGAAGCAGCAGTTAAGAATTCCAAGTGGGATGCTGGAATGGGCAAATCTGCTGGCAAGGATCTCTTTAGAGCAAAGATGTGAAGAAAGGAGACCTAAGAACTGAGGTGTTCAAATTGGGCTGCTGGCAAAGAATATTTGCATGTTATCATAGACTGACAAAAGAATAAACCTATCTGTCTTGGAAGAAGTAAAGCAAGAGTGCTTCTCAGATGCAAGGATGGAAATTTCATCTCACATATAGGGAAAAAGAGGAAGATCCTCAGTGAGATGGAATGACAAAATGATTGCAACAATAACCTTTAAACAGCAGACTGTGATGGTGCAGCATCAGCAGCGTTCTGTTCTGTTGTATAGTGTCACTCTGCTGTTGTTGCTGTGTCATTAGTACTAGCAAGTACAAGCTTAGTGACCCTATGAGCAACAACAGATCTGAACCCTGCCCTGTCCTGTGCCATCCTCACACTTTCTGACACACTAGAGCCCAATGCAGCAATCACTGTGTCAATCCACTTGGTTGAAGGTCTTTCTCTCTTTCACTGACCCTCCAACCTTTCCAAGTATGATGTCCCTCTCCAAGAAGTCTCTCCTAAAAACATGCCAGAAGTATATGAGACAAAGCTTTATCATCTTTGCCTCTAAATTTCTGTACTTTCTTCATGACATACTTGTTTGTTTTGGCAGGCCATGGGATGGCCAGTACCCTTCTCCAACACCACACCCAAAGGCATCAATTCTTCTTCTGTCATCCTTATTCACTGTCCAGCTCTAAAGATGCATAGCAAGTGACTGAAAGACCATGGTCTGAATCAGATGCACCTTAGTCCTCAAACTGACAAGATTGCTCCTCAATAATCTGGAGAGGTTCCTGACTGCTGGTACCATGAGTATTGACTATTACCAGCAATATGAATCAGCCTGGGTGTATGGGGTGGGTCTCTGTATGGCCACGTGCTACTATCTGAAGGTATGCTGGGTAGAAAGCCTCGAAGTTGACTTCCAGAAGAACATGCAATAGAGGGCTGACATTACACTGTAGAAATCTAATGTTATCAATTTACTAATGGAGAAAACTGGCCTCTTTCAAAATATGTGCTCAAAACATGGAAAAAAAAGTGAGAGGTAGGAAAGGACTCTCTTTTGTCCAAGGTCCCTGCCTGCCCTCTCTGTCCACCAAAAGCCCGATCCTAAATGTCCAGAAATTTTTAACCAGGGAATTAATCACTTTGAGACACACCTCTCTCCCCACAACACAGGGAAAGACCCACATCCCAAACCAGCTAAGCCCTTGGACAAGCCCGGGCAGATCCTTCTGAGGTCTATTACAGGGGCGAGAAGTCTCTGGGGGTGATTTTAAAAGCCCAAGTCTTGGCCTGGTTTTATTCCCCTCTGTCACTCCCATCTTAGTGCCGCATGCAAATCATGCATCAGATCAGCGCCTCAATTGCAGAACCTGTAAAGTGGGTCAAGTATGCTTCCACACACGCTGAAGTTGCGATGAGGAGTTAACGCGAGGTAGCGTGCCCCGCGGCACCCCGCGCATTAACGGGCCTCACTGGGAGCGCGCCCTCCCCGCGGTCATCTCTCGGGCTGCAGCGCACCCTCCCTGCCCACCGGGCGGTCGCCTCTGAGGCTTTAGCGCGCGCTCCCTGCCCACCTGAAGGTCACCTCTCGGGCTGCAGCGCGCCCTACCTGCCCACCCAGGAGTCAACTCTCAGGCTGTAGCGCGCGCTCCCTGCCCACCTGGAGGTCACCTTTAGGGCTGCAGCGAGCCCTCCCTGCCCACCCGGCGGTCACCTCTCAGGCTGTAGCGCGCCTGCATGCCAAACACCGACAGGGTGCCAGTGCCGGTGCGGTCCTCCTTGCGGACACCGTGGCGCATGATGTGCTCTACCTGACCCAGGTATTGCAGCTCGCCATGAGGTCGCGAAGGGAGCTCGGGCTCGGGCTCGAGAGCAGCGAGCGGCTGACAACCAGCGGGCATAGCGCTGTGAGCGCGGGACAGCGGAGCGAGCGCCGGAACCTTCCGGGTCTTTTCCCGCCGCGGTTTTGAAGTCCCCGCCTCTTCCTGCGGGAGGCGCAGTCGGACCCGCCCCCGCGTCCGGGACATGCGCAGACGTGCGGGCTCGCGGGAAGGTCGCCGCTAGAAACCTTTGAACTAGGAAGGATTCCAAAGGCGGGGTATCCTGCGGCCTCTGGAAGGAAAGGGAAGCTGTAGGTGCATAAATTCTGGAACTCTGCAGATATTCAAGCGCTCTCTGGTGGTCTAGTAGTAAAAAGTTGCGCTGCAATCACAAAGGCACGCACTTCGAATCCTCCTGCTGCTCGGCAGAAGAATGATCAGCAATCAACTCCCGTGTGATTTTGAAACTCTTAACAACAGAGGCGCTTTGAGTTGTGGTCTTGAAGCAGATTGCCAACAAGACAGATGCATCGTGGAGAGGACTCACAAAATGTGGGCATGTTGCTAGGAGGGGCTATTTCTGGAAAAAGGACATCCTCAGCAGAAGAGAGGAAGACCAGTTGGATTGGCTCCATTGTCTGCAGTAGTGAGCTCGGAGCGTGTCACAAATGATGAGGATGGCATATGAGAGGACAGGGTTCAGATCTATTGTTCATAGGGTCGCTATGAGTCGTGCTTGACTCAACAGCACCGAACAACTAAAGGACTGGGGAGTTCCTTTTGAAAAACTGCGCTGCAAACTAAAGAGCGGTTCGAATCCACCAGCTGCTCTGCGGGAGAACAGTGAACAATCTCTGTGCGTAAACCCTCTGAAGGGTCAGCTATGGGTCTGTTCCGACTCAGTAATACACAGCAACATCGAGGTGGACTAGTCCATAAGAAGTTGTGCTTCTGACTGATTGAATCCACCAGCAGCTCTACTGAAGAAAGGTGGGCAGTCTTCTCCCATGTGATTTACATCCTTGAAAACCTGCTAAGGGAGTCAGTTATAAACTCTCTGACACAACAGCAAAGGATTTTTATTGTTGTTAAAACCAAGGGGCAATAGTCTCACAAATGATTTTCATTTCTATATTCTCCTATTTTCTGTCCCACTTAAGGATGATAACTGGAACAAGTGTTACAATGAAACATTCTTACTGGACTAAATAACTTAAGATTTTTCTATTTTAGTGAAACATAATATAAACACTGAAGGATAGGTATTTCTTGCTAATCTGAAAATAAACCAATTCATGTGTGGTACATGCAGCAAGTAATCTTGTACTGAAAGAGTTAATGAGAATCTAGTGCAGACTATTATAATTGTTGCTAGCTTCAGGAAACAGTACATGGACAGAGAACTGCCAGAAGAAATTCAAGCTATATTCAGAAGAGGCCTTGGAACAAGAAACATTGCTGAAGTCAGATGAATCTTGGCTGAAAGCAGAGAATACTAGAAAGATGTTTATTTGTGTTTTATTGGTTATGCAAAGGCATTTGACTGTGTGGATCATAACAAATTATGGCTAACATTAAGAAGAATGGGAATCTCAGAACACTTACCTGTGTTCATGTGAAACCTATACTTGAGCCAAGAGACTGTTGTCTGAACAGAGCAAGGGAACACAGGATTGTTTAAAATCGGAGAAGGTGGATGTTGGGGGTTTTATCCTTTCTCCATACCTGTACAATCTGTATGCTAAGCAAATAATTTGAGAAGCTGTACTTTATGAAGAGGAGTATGGCATCAGGATTAGGAGAAGTCTCATTAGCAATCTGAGTTATGCAGATGACACAACCTTGCTGGCAGAAAGTGAAGAAGATTTGAAGCACTTGCTGCAGAAGATCAAAGACTACAACCTTCAGTATACACCTGAACATCAAGAAAAAATCCTCACCGCTGGACAAATAGGCAACATCATGATAGATGGATAAAAGATTGAAGTTGTCAGCAATTACAATTTGCTTGGATTCACAATCAATGCTCATGGTAACAGCAGTCAAGATATCAAAAGATGTATGGTATTGGAAAAATCTGTTAGGGACCTCTCCATAGTGCTAAAGACTAATGATGTCATTTTAAAGACGATGATGGGCCTGATCCAAGCCATGATACATAATGATAATAAGATTAGTGTATGGTATGTCTTGAGTCAATTTCTTGAGATATAAAACACAAACCAAATGAAAACTATTTAGAAACAGAAGCTCCCCAGCAAAAATAGTAAAGTTCAGCAGGGCAGCAAACAACAAATTCTGGTGAGGTTGTAGAGAGATTGGAATTCTTATTCACTGCTGGTGGGAATGTAAAATGGTACAACCATTGTGGAAGGCAGTCTGGAGCTTTCTCAAGAAGTTGGAAAGAAAAATGCCATTGGAACTTAGCAATTCCACTACTGGGAATAAACACTAAAGAAATTAAAGCCATGACTCAAATAAATGTATGTACAACCATGTTTATTGCTGCATTATTCACAATAGCAAAGATTTGGAAGCAACCCAAGTGCCCATCAACAAATAAATGTATAGAAAAATTATGGTACATTTACACAAGGGTCTATTATGCAGCATAAAAAAAACAAACAATGAACTTGTAAAACATACAATATGGAACATGGAGGACATTATACTGAGTGAAATATTTCAGTTACAAAAGGAAAAATACTGCATAACACTGCTGTTATAAAATAGGACAGAGTTGGAGGGGAGTTGGGGAGAGAATGGGAAAAGAGTATAGATAATGAACACTGCATTCAAGCAGATGAGAGGAACAACTGTCTGAAAGAAATATATTATTAGACATGTGTACGAAAACAATGGAACAAGGAATGCATTGCTCTACGGGCTGTGGGAGAGAGGAAGAAAATGTATAACAAAGAATAAAAAAAAAATATCGAAAGAAACAGGAGCTTAGAGGAGATAAGGACTTTCTCCAGAGCTGTCAGAATGAAAGATTTCTACTAGAGCTGGCATTTTGAACTTGGACTTCTAGCCTTTTAAATGGTGAGAAAATATCTTTATCAGAGCCACCCACTCATGGTCTTTCACTTATAGCAGTACTAGATAATTGAGGGGGGGGGGAATGGTGCTAAGAAGTTGGAGTGCTTCTCTAACAAACACTTAAAATATAGAAGTAGTTTGGGGAAATCATGATGGGGAAAAGATTACATTGTCAACGATTACATTTTACTTTGCTGGACAATCAACATCTAGAGTAACAGCAGTCCAAAAAGAAAAAGATTTCATTTGGCAAATCTGCTGTCAGTGACCTCTCCAAAGTGTTAAGAGCAACAATGTCAGTTCAAACACTAAGGTATGCTTGATCCAAGCCATGGACAATTACTTCCTATGTATCTGAAAGTTAGATAATGAATAAGGATGACAGAAGAAGAATTGATGCCCCTGAGTTGTGGTACTGGAGAAGAGTACTGAGTATCCCACTGACTGCCAAAAGAACAAACAAGGCTTTCTTGGAGGAAGTGCAACCAAAGTGTTCCTTAGAGCACACTTAGGTGAAGATTCTCACCTAATTTGAGTATTTTGTCAGGAGGCACTAGTCCTTAGAAAAGGACATCATGCTGGAAAGGTAAAGGGTCAGAGAAAGAGAGGTAGACCTTCAACAAGATGGATCAACATAATGACATTAACAGTGGCTTTGAGCATATCAGTGATGGTGAGGATGGTGTAAGATAAGGCAAGGTTTAGGTCTGTTGTTTACAGCTGGACTCTATGAAGAAGAATGTGGCATCAGGATCATTAATAACCTGTTATGCAAATGATACAGCCTTGCTTGCTGAAAGTGAGGAGGACTTGAGGCACTTGTTACAGACGATCAAGGAATGCAGCCTTCAGTATGGATTACATCTCAATATTAAGAAAGCAAAGATTCTTCCACTAGACCCATAGGCAACATAATGGCAGATAAAGAAGAGACTGAAACTGTCAACAGCTTCATCTTACTTGGATCCTTGGTACCAGCAGTCAAGAAATCAGGCAACATATTTCATTTGGGAAGTCTACAGTTAGTGATCTTTCCAGATTATTGAGGAGCAATGAGAGTTGGACAATGACTAAGGAGTATAGAAAGAGAACTGATGCCTTTGAGCTGTGGTGCTAGAGAAGAGTATTGAGAGTACCATGGACTGCTAGGAAAACAAACAGATTCATCCTGGAAAGGGTTAAACTGGGCAACTCCTTGGAAGCAATGATTCTGAGGCTTCGTCTAACATACTTTGGACATGTTGTAAGAGGAACCGCTCCTTGGAGAGGGACATCATGTTTGGTAGGGTGGAGGGACAGTGCAGGAGGGGAAGACCATCTATGAGGTGGATTGATACAGTAATTGGGATGGGAATGTCAGAGACAGTGTGGTTGGCACAGGACAAATCAGGGTTTAGGGATGTTGTACATAGGGTCACTATGAGTTACAAGTGACTCAATGGCACATAACAACAACAACCACAATGAGGACTAAGGTGCACCTGATTCAGGCCATGGTCTTTTTGATCACTTGCTGTGCCTCTGAGAGCTGGACAATGAATAGGGATGACAGAAGAAGAATTGATGCCTTTGAGTGGTGTTGGAGAAGAGCACTGAACATCCCAAGGATGGCCAAAAGATCAAATTAAAAAAAAAAGAACAAATAAACATGTCTTGGGGAGGGCACAGCTAGAGTGCTTTTTGGAGGCAAGGATAATGAGGCTTTGCTTCACAAACTTTGGATGTGTTGCTAGGAAGTGCTATTCCTTGGAGAGGGACATGATTCTTAGAAGGGTGGAGGGTCGGCAAAGGAGGGGAAGACCTTCAACCTGGTGAACTGACATGGTGACTGCCACAATGGGTTCTAGTGTGTCAGGAAGTGTGAAGATGGCACAGTATAGGGTCACTATGAGTCATACTAGATTCTATGGCACCTAACAACAGGGTTGTTGACTGGGAGTCGTTGACTAGGGCAGCTAAGAACCACACCTCCAGGGACATAAAGAGTAAGATGTGGGCTCTAAAATGTCTTAAACATTACCTGTTTCCATTTAGTAAAATCTACAGGTTTTCTTTTTCTGTTTATTCAAAATTGCTATCTTTGCAACATTCTACAGTTTTTCTGCTAAAGTGCACTTTCAAGTGCAAAGTTAACCTTTTTTTGAAACAGTAAAGCAGATTTCTTG